GCACAGTGTCCTGCTCCAGGCAGCCTGAGAGCTATGGACCCAAATCCATGCCCACTGTGGGGATTCCAGTCCCTCCACACTCTCCCAGGACATGTCCCCCATGGCCCTCAGCCACCCAGTGTCTGGACTCATGGGGTATTTTTAAGCACCCAAGCCTTGCAATGTGAAATCAAGGGGAAATTTGGATTCTGAAAGATAACCTTGATGAGCAGCAAGATTCAAGTCTGGTGGGATGAATCTGACAGGCGTCCACTGCCTGAGGTCAGTGTGAGCAGCAGCGGGGAGGCAGAGGTGCCAGACAGCAGCCAGGGCAGAGAGACAGCGTTTCCAACAGCATGCGGGGCAGGCAGGCGGGGGACCAGCACGCTGCAGCCCAGGAATCAGAGTGATGCATGCGACGAAGTAAGTGCCACATCAACTGACAGGAGCAGTGCGAGCGTCATCCGTTTACTTTCATGGTGACCTTGCATTTATGATAGTGGTTTTCCACTCACAGTACTGATAACAATCTTCCCTTTTAAAATAAATTGGAAACGGCAAGTCGATTCAAGGGAAAGTATGTAAGTATCACTCAGGTGAAATAGACTTTGCAAAATCATGGAGATGGTACGAGGATGGCTGAAGACAGAAAACAATGCAGTAGCTAAAGGCCTCTGTGGACCAGTGCTCCCAGCTGACGGTGACAGTGAGCTGATGACCTGTCTGTCCACTGCTGCCCTCACAGCAGCATCCAAGACGTCAGAGGGCCTCAGCACGGTCCCAAAACGTCACTTTGGGCTGAACCCTGGCTGGGCAACATCGATCCGATTATTTGAGATGCTGAGTGGAGCAGAAAATTCTTCAAAACATAGAAGACATCTAAAAAGGGACTGCTCCGCAAAAGCCAAGATTCTGTGCTTTGACACAGAAGGTGGAGATAAGGGCAGCAGATTTAAAGTTAGCTGCCCAAAAATGAGTCTTAAAAAAATCTCACTTGACAGGGGCCGCACAGTTTCGGAAACATAGCGACCGCTGATGAGTTCTGTGTTGCACAGGGGCAAGGTCTACAAGCCTGCAGGTGCTAGAGAGGGGCGGCACTGGGCCCAGGACTCATGTAGCACTGACACCCTGGCTCAGGGACCTGGCGTGGATGCCCTGAGGCTCCCCTAACACTGGGCTGCGCTGGAGTCAGGTCCAGAGGCTGAGACAACTGGTCTCCTTTGAAGTCAGAATCCAGGTTGGCTGCTTTAAGTTTGGCTTGGAATTTGGGTCAGGAGAAGGGGTCCACTGAGGGTCATCTGGCCTTTAGCTACTGTTTTTGTTTTTCTGCTTGTTTGTTTGAATTTCAGACATGAAGGCAGGTACATTGTGAGAACACTGATGGATTAGAAATCCCCAGTGTCTGAGAAAGGGAGGAGCTAGTGAGAAGCAGGTGCGATGTCAGAGGAAGAGGAGAACTTCAGGCGTTTACAGAAACCGGGCGGGATGATGGAGACTTGGCCTTTTCCTCGGTTCCACTTCTGCAGAAGGACTCTTTTTGTGCCAAGTTGCTAAATTGTGATCCCCTGGATAACCCAAGAGAGGAAGGAAAAACAAAACAAAACAGCAAATAAATGAAATGAATAACAAATGACTGCGTTAGCTAAATGGTCTTGGGAAATCAGAGTCCTGTCCTGCCAAGGAGAGTTGGAAACAATACCCACAGCACAATCAGAATCAGGACTCAGTGAACCATTCTGCTCTGACCCCACTTAATTAATTTAGTGGCGTCCTGTGCCAGGCTTTACTTAGCACGTGAGGAACATTCAATATTGCTCTAGGAGCCGCTGCCTTAGACTATTTTTCAATGTCAATGTGTTAACTATTAAATAAGAATGTTTACTAGTTTAGGACCCGGTTTTTCTTACTCCTCCGCCCTAATGACCAGCTCCCTGACAACTTGGCTCACACACAACTAACTCCTGCTCCTGTTCAAACACCTTGGGACACTTCCTGGTATGCTTCTGGCTGCTGCAACGGGACAGTCCACCTGAACTGCTCACTAATAGTCCTTGTGCATCTCAAACAGCCTCTTATGGAAGGATGAGTTTGAAATTCCTCTTTTTCAGACCAAAACACTGTCAACATCAAGAATTATTCCCATTTAGATCCCTACACATCCTCTACTGCAAGCCTACACTTCATGACCTTTAAATTATGGAGTCTTATCAGAGCAGACAATTGGCCTAACTTCCTGAACATGTCATGTACATGAGCATAACTGACTTATCCGATTTCTGACTTAGGATTCAAGTTCATAGAAGCACCAGTTATTTCTCTCTCCACAACACCACCTCGTGGCCACAGCTCACACCACAGGAGAGGGGACCCACTAGGCAATGCTGGTGCCCCAGGCTTGGTCAACACCTTCAGGGACCAAAGCAGCTTTAACTGCAGGCAGTGCTCACAGTGGTTAAGAGTTCAGACTCCGCAATCTGTCAGACCCGGGTTCAGTTCCCAGCACCACCCCTTATTCTCTGGGAAAGTGCTTAACCTTGTCAAGCCTCACTCTCCCAGCACTAAAAAGGGGATAGGAATCGTGCCCACTTCAAATGGCAGTTGGAACTAAAGGAGAGACATAAAGTATGAAACTAGCTAAAGATTGCTGAGCCCAGAAAGAGCCCCCATTACATGGCTGCCGTTACTAATATCTACCACTGACTCCTCACTCAAGAATCCAAACAGTTGTTCGTTTGTTTTATTAATCCTCACCTGAGGATATTTTTTTCAGGGAGAGTGGGAGGGAGGAGCAGAATCAGAGAGAGAAACATTTTTGTGAGAGAGACACATCGATTGGGTGCCACCCACACACCTCAACTGGGCCGGGCATTGAGCCTGCAACCCAGGCATGTGTCCTTGACCATAATCAAACCCTGGACTCTCTAGTCTGAGGGCTGACACTCTATCCACTAAGACAAACCGGCCAGGGCAGTCAAGCATCTTTTCTCTGAAAGTTTTTCTAGCTGTATTAGGCTGATTATCGTTATTTAACTCAACTTAGACAATAACACAAAGGAAGGTGGTGAATGTAAAAAAATCTATGTAGCCCCCATGAGAATCCTTGGCAACAGATGCCTCAAGATAAATGTTAATAAGCTTCATTACCATTTCCCTGCATGTGAGCATTTGACCTATTTCACCTCCTGTAAAGACTGGGAATGCGAGCATAAGTCCCTAAACACTGGTATGGATGTGTGTGCACACTTCGTTTTTTTGCATTTCGAGGTCCTGAAGTGGTGAATGTCACCCAGAAAGGCATGTGCACAGGTCACACTCAGGAGGCAGCTTGTCATAGGCTCTGGTGCTGTAACAGCCGCCTCTGAGAGGGCACGAGTCTCAGGCCTGGGCTGGTCTTCAGGAAGTCCTGGTGTCCTTCATAAAATTTAAATTCTCAGGGTGCATGTTTGGCAGGTTTATAGGTAAGTCATGTATGAAATGATATTTAAAAGTAAATTGAAAACTCAGCCATGTTTAAGGCAAGTAGGATGCACTTTCTCCCTTGCCGGAAGCCGGTCCATCATTGCCGCTTGACATAGTCGCTGCAGGGAAGAACCATCTGCACAGCATATGTTTCAAGGGACCTGGTTTATATGGCATACTGTTCTTAATATGTTTGCTCCCCTACTTAACGCTATATGTTTTAACCAAGGTCACCTCTCCGAGAAAGGTTGTTTCTCCAGGTGGGGATTTTGCTTAAGCTACATAATCTTTACTTAGGATAATCTGCTTCAGTTACTTCCTTGTAGCTTAACAGAACAATAGAGTAGTGACCTTGGAATGGAGATAACAAACATCGTAAACCTTTGGTATAGAATGGATAGGATTAAAATCAATTGGTTCCTTGTAGCTTAACAGAACAATAGAGTAGTGACCTTGGAATGGAGATAACAAACATCGTAACCTTTGGTATAGAATGGATAGGATTAAAATCAATTGGTATAAATACAGATGTAACAGGAGAATAAAGACAGAACCTGGCTGGAGAACTGACTAGAGAACCTGGACAGAACCTGGCTAGAAAACATGACTAGAAAACCTGGCTAGGCTGCTGATCAACTGAACACTGTCTCCGTGTCATTCCTTCTTCGCTGACTCCGTCCACACCTTTGGGAACCCCTAGACTTGCTGGGGCTGGACCCCAACACCCCCTCTCCCAAACCTTAACATCTCTGAAATCAGGATGCAGCTTCCATTCTGACTCACAGTCACTGTGGGCCAGGTGGCAATTGTGACAAAATTGTCACTGCCACAACCCATTTATCTTCTTATGTGAGCACCCTTGTCCTGACAGCCTCTGAGATTCCATGAAATACATACAGCACATGCAATTAGGAATCCACTTCAGAACCTCTGGCAATTCCACGTGACAACCCTGAATGATGAGGTGCAGTGCACTCCGTGGTGGCAGGACTTAAGGCCAGATCAGGTCAGAGAAGAAAACCAGACCCGCTTGTCAAAGTGACAGGAAGATCAGAGCCTCAGGAGGCCTTGCTGAAGACCTTGAAGCTGTCCTCACATGTTAAATGCACCACGGATCTCCCTACAGAAGTGGCCTATTGTAGGCCTGGAGGAAACAGGGAACCCCAAAATCCTCTGCTGTGGAGCTTGTCTCTACAGTAACTGTGTGGACACCAGCTCTGTATATTTGAGTCCCTAACACAGTGTCCATGAGGCATTAGGCTCCTCATACTAAAGGAACTGAATTGTTCTGGGACGAAAGTACAGCAACACTGACTGGGGGTTATATTTCCTACTTGGGTGTTCACATTCCTAAGGAGACAGATGTGCATGTGTGGAGCACACTCCCTTCAGCATCCTACACACACACACACACACACACACGATCACACAGAGGCAGTCTCCTTGGTTCTCCCCTGTCCCTGAGGGAGACCTGAGTTCCTGCCCTTCACTTCCCGCCTGTAGACAGGTCAGCCCCTCCTACCTTTTCCCCTGGGCTCCCTGTAGGTCTCTTGCTCTTCTGTTCACTTTGAGCAGCATGGGGTGGCCTGGAGGGGCTCCAGCTGCGATTGAAGAGGCTGAGAAGTACTGGGCGAGGCCTGGTCTGAGGACCCCAGCGGCCAGGAAGGCCTCTCTGAGGTTGACTTCCGTCGTTCTCTGGAACCCCCTTTCTTTAGTTTGATGAGTTTGAGTAAGAATTTGGCTCCAATCCAGTGCTTTTTCCTGTAAGAGGTAGGTTTTTAGGACACAGCCAACCCTCACTGCCCCTCCAGCAGGTGTCTGGGTGCCCTATGTGAACTGGAATTTCCATCACCAACCTGTAAAGGTGGTGGTTAATCTGGTTCAGAAAGCGGGTGCTCTTCACTGTCACCACGCTCACCCGACCTGGGGCTCAGGAGTTGGCACACAATGTACAGTTAATTCACACAGACCCAGGGGTTGTAGGAGCCTTCATCGTGGAGGAACCCACACTGGCCCCTGGGGAAAACAGAACTTCAAACCCAGCTCTTAGCTCTTGATTACTGTGCCAAGTGCGGGAAGTGGTGCTATACTAACCTAATCATGCTGGTTGGCAAAATTCCACCAAAATGCCATTTTCAGAAAGAGACTGGGACCTCCTCATTTTCTGCTAGAGTTAATAATACATGAAATAGGCTGGCATATTCTGCCCACTCCCGGCACTGAGGAATCTGGGTGAGGGGAAGAGGGCAGGAGAGTGGGCCCCTTCAAGTAAAAACAGTGAGCCCTGGATGAGTTACCTGGTGGTTGGAGCATCAGCCTGATCACTGAAGGGTGGTGGTTCCATCCCCCGTCAAGGGCACATACCTCGTTTGCAGGTTCAATCCCCGGCCCAGGTCGAGGTGTGTGCAGATGGAAACCAATTGATGGGTCGCTCTCATCTCTCTCTCTCTCTCTCTCTCTCTCTCTCTCTCTCTCTCTCTCTCCCATGGCTGTCACCTCCCTCCCTCCCTTCTACTCTCTCTAAAAATCAATGGGAAAAATATCCTCAGGTGAGGATTAGAAAAGTAAGTAAATAAATGAAAACTGTGAATGTAAAAGGTAATTCATTCCAGCTAACAGGAAATGAAGCATTCTAATGTACAGGGACCATAGCTGCGTTCTGGTCCTGGCTCTGCCACGAAACAGCACTGTGCTTACACAAGCCACTCAATTTCCTCATCAGTGCCTCAATTTCCCTGTCAACAGGAGGGTCAGTCAGAGGTTCTTAAATTCTGTGGTTCTGTGATTTCTACAGATAGGCCCTGCTGGATTCATGGTGATTTAACCTCAAGGCTGGGCTGGGACAGGATAATGGGAAGGCCCAGCTCCTGGGCTCAGGCCTGGGCAAAGGGGGAGCCCCGCTGGACGGAGGCCGGCAGTCTTAGGGTCAAATCGGCCCACCACCGGGGCTGCTGCTCTCTGGGGAAGGGAATGTGTTTGTGAACTTGCCCTGGACTGGGGTCAGGTCCAGTGAACCCAGAGGAATGGAGGGCAGAACAAAAGTTTCCTGTGCTTGAAGACAGGGGTGCTGGTCCAGGCATCTGACCCAAGCTTCCTTCCCAAAACAGAAACCTGGTTTTCTAAGTCCCGCAAACTTAAGACAAATGCTGATACACCTGCTTTAGTGGCTCTAAAAGCACAGACTCTGCCCTTAAACAGGCTCCTGGCCAGCTGGCATTCACCATCCCTCATAGGATAACCCTGAGTACTGAGGGCAGGATGGAAAGAAACTCTAAATTCGTTCCCTGCTGGGATGGACCTGCACACAGGGACCTGGCATACAGCAGAAGGTACAGGCCCAACAAACTGGCAACTGCTCTAGATGCTACAGCTTCCCCAGCTCATGAAAAAGCAAACTTTCTGTCCTGTGTGTAAGCTACTGACACTTAAATCAACTCACTTCTTTGGCGCTGGATCATGGAACTTGCGCTGAGCTATGCTTTTTTCTTCCAGTTTTTCATTTTGTCTCTGTAAGGCATTTAATTTGTCTCTAACAGGAGAGAGAAAAACAACCTGGTTTTTAAAATAAAACACATAAATTGACTCAACACCCCACCTAGAACCTGGCCCAGAAGGAGCCTGTGTGTTTCTGGGACTCAGACATCACGGTGCTCATGACCACCATGACCCCTGAGTTGGGAATATGGGATGGAAACATGTGACATGGGTCCAGGAGCCTAACTCATCAAGGAGACGGCTGAATACCTAGGGTCAGGCTGTGCGTCACATCAAGAGAGAGACCCCGAACCACCTGAAACTCAAGCTGGGAAACCCCGAGGGTTCCGGCCAGGTCAGCTCAGGACGCTGGGCACTCGGGTCAGACTCAGGGCTAGGCTAGCTCCTGCAGGTGCAGACCAACGATAGCTTTAGTGGTGGGAGGGGTCTGCCCTCGCTGAGTTAGACAGGCATCAGGTTAAAAAGGTCAGTTTAGCAAAGTCAGACCTCCAACCTGAACCCACTCCAATGTTGGGCTTCTGCTAACACTTCTAGTGAAGCAAACTCAAAGCCTTTTGGGAGCCAGACAGAGAAGATAAGGAGCAAAGCGGCCTGGAAGGACCTGAGGGAGGAGTGGGGGCTGCAGCGAGGCTGAGCGCTCGGTGCAACCTGGGACCCTACACGGGGCCTGCAAAGGAGCACCGCTCTCCATGTGGTGGAGCTTCTGACTGCTTTTCCCAAAGGTTCCAGAAGCCCTGGCTCTGAAGCAAAATCTTTTAATTTCTAAATGTGGGAAGTCAGTTCACATTTTTAAAAACACAGAAAGGAGCCTCTTAAACCTTGGGCTGCCAAAGGGCACCCCCACTCCTGGGAGAGGAAGCCTGGCTTTCCTGAAGCAGAAGACATGGCATGCTTTCCTGTTGTCTGTCTAGGAGCCATGCACGCAGTGCTCGCTATACAGCTCCCCCCACTGGGCCGCTGGCTCCTGTCCTGTTCCTGCCTCTCCTCACCCATGTGGCCTTGACAGCTCAGACCCCGGCTTTCCCTGCTTGAAAATGAGTCCTCGGCATCCAGACAGCTGCTCAGGCTCCTTCAGTCAAGAAGGTGCCCAGGCCCCTCCTAATATGAGGGCTTTTCCGTGAGTTCACCGCGAAGTGAGCATCCGTGAGAAGATTGCTTGCAAACCACTGGGTCCCTGGCCACAGACCTGATCTGCTCCCAGCACCCTCGGCTCGGCCTCTGTTCTTCTAGTCTGTGTTATTCTGTTCCCACAGCCGTCCCCCACCCCTGCAAACTCATGGCCCAGCTATCCCAGGGCTGGGGATGACTCTGCTTGGAGCAGGCTCAGGAAGCCTGCCCACTCCCTGGCCTCCTGCAGACACTTTCTAATGCAAAACCGTCATCAGATCATCCCCAGGTACCAGGTCCCCACTCTTGTAGTTTGCACCTGCCCAACCTCTGCTGTTAATTTTTAGCAGCTGCGTTATAGAGAGCCCACTTCAGGCTACAAACTCTCACTTCTACCCTAAAAGTACAGTGCAGTTTCCCATGTCAGTCATCCTTGGTTTCCCATGTCAACCATCCTTGGTAGATGTTGAGCCCCCTGTAGATGAGCAGACGAATCCAGGAGAACAGTGAACAGCAGCATCACCCCGGGGATCTGGGACAGTACCCAGTGGTCACTGTGGCCATGTCCCTCTGTCCCACACTGGCCAGCCATTCCCGATCACAAGGAAGGACAGTCCCAACAGCACAGCACCGAGGGGTGAAGACCAACGTGGACCCACAAGATGCATCTCCGATGACTTGACTTCCAAACCACAAGGATTCCAGCACCAAGGCTTTTCCTCCTGCCCTCATTTCTGGCAGCTTCCTAGGCCCTGTACACCAGCATCCCTTAATCACCCACTTCCCAGTGAATCCGACTCATTAGCCAGGTATGGCAGTCTTCCACGGCTAAGTGCTGCCTCCTCCAGCTCCCCTCCTGCCACTCCCTGCACCTTCCCTGCGCCTAGAAAACACGAAGCTCCACCTTCACGTTCCCCAGGCCCCCTCCAGTTCCCCCCACACACAGGCTAGCTTTCTGCCCATCCGTGTCAGCAACAGAACTTCAACTCCCACCACCACGCTTCCTTCCATTTCCAGGAAGCTCCTCAACATCTGTTTGTGTGCACACAGCTCTGCTCACATCCCATCACCCCTACTGGTTCCTGGAGACCAGGTAACTGGTTCTGTGTATCTCACAGGGCCAGGACTGTCCACAAAGACAACGTGGGCAGAGGGAGGACAGCCACTGTGCACCAACAACCCACTCTGCAGCCCATTAAGGGAAAAACCGACACAGAAAGGGCTCAGCCTGTGATCTGAAGTCCTTCCCTAGGAACCTCTCTTTACCACTGTTGTATTTTTCAAATTGACCTTGATCCCAAAAGCAGATTAAGAAGCGCCTGGCAGAGGGAAGTGTCTCTGTAAAGCCAACAAAGCCAACCACCCCTATTTGCAGAAATCTGGAACCATTCCCTTCCCGGGAAAATGAGAAGGATGTGCTGGTAAGATGGTCTGTCCCCTTGCCTGGGACACCAATGTACCCAGAGGGTTCTCTGCTGCCCAGAATGGCGCGGTCTAGTCACGGAGCTGTAAGCCACGACCCCTCTGTTGACGGGCGTCCATCAGCCCACACCCCTCACACGTACTGCCACTGCTGCTCCTGGTGCTGGTCCTTGTTCTCCACGTCCTCCTGTAGAAGCCTCTGGTTCTGCTCTTTCAATCTTTGGTTTTGGCTCTGCAGGTGACGGTTTTCTCCTTCCAAGTTGCCCTTGAGTTGGGAGAGCAGCTAAAACACAGATGGACAATGTTTCAAACACCACACGCTCCTGTGATTCCACTGCTGGGAATCTACTTCCAAAAGTTGAAAAAGGCCACGTGCACAAAGATGGCCATTTTGGTATTATCTACTTCAGCTGGCATGACCAATATGGCCAATGCCATGGGGATGGCCAAGCCTTCTGTCACTGCACCATCCAATCAGGCAGCCACAGGCCATGTGTGGCTGCTTAGCACTGAAAATGCAGCCAGTCTGAGCTGAGCCATAAGTGCAAAATATATAATAGGTTCTGAGGACTTAATAATGATTCAAAAATAATGTAAAATATCTCATTAATAAGCTGCCTGGTGCTTGTGGCTTGGTTGAGTATCATCCCATGCACCAAGATATCACCAGTGTAGTTCCTGATGAAGGCACATGCCTGGGTTGCTGGCTCCATTCCCAAGTAGAAGCCATGCAGGAGGCAACTGATGGATGTTTCTCTCAAAAAGTCAGTAAAAACATATTATAATAAAATCTCATTAATAAGCTTTAGGGGTTACATGTGATATTTTAGATATAAGGGTTAAATAAAATAGACCCTTAAATTAATCTCACCTGATTCCTTTTACTTTTTGAATATGGCTACTAGAAAGCTGAGTGATACATGTGGTGGCCTGCATTATATTCCTATTGCACATCTCTGCTCTAGGCAGGGTTGGCACGCTTTTCCGGTAAAGAACGAGGTACTAAATATGTTAGGCTTTCCAGGCAGACAGTGGTCCTGTTGCAACTGTTCAACTCTGTTATTACAGCAGGAAAGGAGCCAGAGAAACAATGCACACGCATGGGTGTGTCTGTGTTTAAAAAATAAACAAACCAAAAATCTTAACTCATGGACACCAACATTTAAATTTCATGTCACTTTCACTTGCCCCCAAATATCCTGCTTTTGATTTTCCCCAGCTATTAAAAACTGTGAAAGCTACTCTTGGTTCTCAGCCATACACAAACAGGCGTGAAGCTGGACCTGAATTTTGGGCTGAGGGTGGCCAGCTCCTGCTCTAGAATATCATCGCAGTTGGTGTAGCAGGAAGTCCCAAGCTTTGGCTTCAGACAAACGGGGTTCCAACCCGCTACTTCAGAGGGACAAGGATGGGAACCCCAGCTCACAAGATCATTGTGAGAATTAAATGAGATGACACAGAGAGCAGAGTGCTCAGCCGAGAGGACGGAGATAAAATGGTACTTGGCTGTTTCCATGCACCGCCCCGACCCTGCAATAAGCAAAGATCAGGTGAAAGGTGTTCTGTAGCACACCCCTGCCAGTCCTGGTGTTCATCCCAGTCAACTGCCTCTGGCTTCCTCTCTGCCTCTGTGTGACATTCACACACACCCTTTGAGCAGAGATGCCAATGAGGACCCATTCTCACCTGGTGGAGCCCAAGGCATCAGCCCAGGGAACAGGCCCACCCAGGGTCCTGGGGCCTCCAGCTCTGTCTGGCCTCACCTGGCAGTGGTTGTCCAGCTCGGTCAGCGAGATGTCCCTGCTCTGGAGCTCCTCCCTCAGCCAGTTGCACTGGTCCTGCCAGCAGTTCACCTCCAGCTGGGTGTCCTTCAGGGAGGTCTGCAGCTTCTTGCTGTGCACCTGCAGCTCCTCCTGCTGCCCCTTCAGCCCCTTATACCGGGCCTGCCAGCGGTTCTTCTCCAGCTGCATTTCATTAAGGGAGGTCTGCAGCTCGTTGTTGTAGATCTGCAGCTCTTCCTGCTCCTTCCTCAGCCAGTCGCACTGGTTTTGAGCAGAGATGCCAATGAGCAGCTGGGTGTCACTCAGGCAAGGCGTCAGCCCAGGGAACAGGCCACTCAGGGTCCTGGGGCCTCCAGCTCTGGCCTCACCTGGCAGTGGTTGCCCAGCTCGGTCAGCGAGATGTCCCTGCTCTGGAGCTCCTCCCTCAGCCAGTTGCACTGGTCCTGCCAGCAGTTCACCTCCAGCTGGGTGTCATTTAGGGAGGTCTGCAGCTTCTTGCTGTGCATCTGCAGCTCCTCCTGCTGCCCCTTCAGCCCCTTATACCGGGCCTGCCAGCGGTTCTTCTCCAGCTGCATTTCATTAAGGGAGGTCTGCAGCTCGTTGTTGTAGATCTGCAGCTCTTCCTGCTCCTTCCTCAGCCAGTTGCACTGGGCCTGCCAGCAGTTCACCTGCAGCTGGGTGTCACTCAGGGAGGTCTGCAGCTTCTTGGTGTGGGTCTGCAGCTCCTCCTGTTCCCTCTTCAGCTGCTGGTGCAGGGAATTGGCCCTGGGGGTGGAGAGACACAGGGCCAAGGGCTGAGGCGCACTCCCAGGCTCTGTCCCAGTTGTGCAACCTTAATCAAAACAGCAACCTCTCTGGCCCTCAGTTTTTTTCATGTGTTAATGAAGGGTTGAACAAAATCAGCGGTTTTCAAACTGTGTTCATTGGGGTTCTAGGAGGCTACCCCAGCTGCCCCACTGCGGGCTGGGAGAGACAGGACAGGCAGGCTCGGACACCATTACAACAGAGCATCCCTGTAAAAGTCCTTTCCTATGTGAGGCGTTGGCACATCTGCCTACTTAGAAAAAGAGTTCTTTGATTGAGACACTTAAACACAGAATCAGAACATTTCTGCTCTAAGACTCTATGTCTATATCCAGCTCTTCTCCCCAATTTCAAACCCCTTTCTAATTTCAACTACTGAGATAAATAAAATAGGAGATTCTGGAGTGTTACCTAAATCCACTGAAATTATCATCATCATCATCATTACCGGACTGGGATTCCTGGGGAAGATTTATACCAAAAAGCTCATATGACCAGAGGCTCATGGACTCATATTGAACACAGGTGTGTGAAATTTGGCCCACACAGCTTTTTAAAAAAATTTTAACATTTACTTATTTTATTCTATTTTATTTCATTTTAAAGTGTGTGCGGTTTTATTAATTCAAGTCTCTCCAATAAAGTCAACTAAAAAAATAAAATAACATAAAGAAAGGAAACAGAACAAGATAAAAAGATTCTCTGTTGTGGTCCTGTAAGTACTTGCCGGTTTAGGTTTAAGGGCCCCTGGCTTCAGACATGTTTCCAGGTCCTCCCACTCAGCGGTTCTCAACCTGTGGGTCGGGACCCTTTCACAGGGGTCGTCTAATATCATCGGAAACACTCATATAGCATGTCCCAAAATTCATGCAAGATTTGCAATTGAATTGAGTTGCATATCTTGCGTGAATTTTGGGACACCCGATATAATTACATATTGTTTTTGTGATTAATCACTATGCTTTAATTATGTTCAATTTGTAACAATGGAATTGGGGTCACCACAACATGAGGAACTGTATTAAAGGATCATGGCATTAGGAAGGTTGAGAACCACTGCTCCTGTTCCTCTGTCCTGCCTATATAAAGCAGATATTTTTGAAAAACAAACACAACAAAAAAATAATTATTGTACCAGCATTCCAAAATTTTGTTTCCCATCAACATCAGATA